GGTAAGGGTTTCGAAACGAAGGGAGTGACACCGCTCATAGGAGAAGGGCGCGAATTATTATTTAAATTGAAGCCCTGTGGTTGCTGAGGTCTGTTAGGAAGCTTAAACACATTACTCTGGGGGTTATAATTTGGTGGAGCACGCATCATCTGTTGCGTACGAGTGGGACCGCGTGGTACATGCATCTGGGGTGGTAGATTGGGCCTCCAACCCTGTGCAGCATACGGTTGCATAGGTGGCTGTCTAAAAGAGTTCAGTATATTATTACCCTGTGGTCTAGGTAGTGACGGCATGTTAAACGTGGTAGGTTTTGGCAGATAATTATTTAATGGTAGGCTATGTGAAGGTTGAGTCCATTCCTTCTTGTTCTGACTGCCTTCATTTCGTTGTCGGAGGTAAAGGGTGTTTAATTCCTCCTGTACGAATTCAAGTGCTTTCTCCATACTTTCGGGTCGCATACATCTTATTCTAGACCCTAGGGGGTCTTTTAATCCGCGTAAATAAGCTTGCAAAGTCAGTTTTTTATAGAGTGCGCGCTTAGCTTCAATTGTCGTACTAATCGTTTCATGTAAAGTGACATAGGTCATTATTGTACTAAATAAACTTTGAACTCGCTCGTAAAATTCTTGCGGGGTACTTGACCCTTGGTTTTGTAGTGATAAATCGCTGTATAATGCAGTTTCGTCGCGGTGGTCGGCGAAGTTATTTATAAGAGCGCTTTTGATGCCGGCCCAGGTTTCCGGTATTCCATATGAATTTATTAGCCTAGCCGCGGACCCAGTTTATTTATTTAAAATCCCGTTAATAAGAGAAAGATTGGCTAGTTCGTATCCAGACTCATTTCTTACGTGGGCTAACACAAGTTGATCGCACAGGTTAATAAAGCGCGTAAGGATGTAAATTCGGGCAAAACTCTAAGTGACTTATAAACTAGGTCTGTTTCATTTGATTGGGCCATACTATCGGTTTTTAAACCTCTGTTCTCGTCTATAATACTATTATATAGATTAGGGCTGCGTAACAACCTAATAAATATTATTTGACCGTAATAAAATAAAACAAGGTAGTCTTCGGCATGAAAGTAAAAAAAAAATATTTTCGATTATTTTTGCAATATCTAACAGCCGGATCATCGCGCGACTCTGATCCATCTAAAGATGCTAAATTTCAGCAAGCACTGTCAAATTCAATAGGAGTGACAGAAAAACGGTTATTGATATAGAAGAGTAAATAAATTATTTAACCTATAAAGTAAAATCACTTTATTAAAAATCAAAAAAACCCAATAGCTTTATTAACATGAGACACATAATTGTACGAGTGCTTACAATACTTAACATTATTTTACTGAAATCTCAGAAAGTTTTTTTTTTAATAGAATAAGGGTGACAAACGAGCACACAGTCCACCTGATGGTAAGTGGTTGCTACGGCCCATATACATCTACATCTATTCTCGATTACGTATCAAAATGTAGATGCGTTATTACCCGTGAGGACTAAGATGTAATGCCTCGTTTCCAGTAAAAAAGTTCTCTGGTTCTCTACACTCACCATACGAAACACAGCAGGGTTAAACTGTTATTTTACATGTTATTCCGTAAGAGCGTGGCCCCTGCTCGGTCGAGCCGACCCATTCGTGCTACAACTATACCTACTACTAATATAGCTGCAGCATGGCTCTACCACGTAAGAAAAAATTGACGTTGAAAATTTAAGTATTTTCAGAAGCAACTTTGCAATTATTTTCTATTGAGTGAATTTTTGTGGAATCGTGTTTTGCAAACCGCCACCTGAAATACGTACAATTTTTTTTTCGATAACGACGTGAAATTATAAAATGATCCCCATGCATATCAATGTGTTTCTATTCAGCCTCTTAATATGAACATCACAGAGAGAGAACAGGGAATCAGAGATTTTAAAAGTTTTCATGCGTAGATAATGGAAGATATAATATTATATTATTACTGTCCCGTGTGAGGCAACCTTTATACTTATATATATATTCTCATCATATTTTTATGGTTGGTTAGAAAAATTATATTTAAATGCAAACTTTCACAGGGTAAATTTTTTTTTACTATTTTTACCCCGCAAGTAGTAAAGCAACTACAATCCCATCGGTAAGTGGTTATGTAGCCTAAGATGGTGAATTGCACTGACTTAACAAAAACCTATTCACTCTTGCCTATAGTACTAGGTAAGTATTATTTGCGACCTATCTGTGTGTGTGTGTGTGTGTGTGTGTGTGTGTGTGTGTGTGTGTGTGTGTGTGTGTGTGTGTGTGTGTGTGTATGTGTAAAGAAAAGCGTATGAGAATACGTGAAGAGGAATAAAGGTTGAGTACTACTTCACTTACCTGTACGAGGTTGCCACTCGAGAACCTTTCTTCCTATTTTTTATCTGTTTTCCAAGTTATATAGCCAGCCCATTGCCATTTCACTGTAATATTCCCTTGGGCTATGTCAGTTACTCTAGTTCTACTGCGAATATCTTAATTTCTAACTTTATCACGTAGAGATACCCCTCTCCAATTTAAAATTTTTACATTTTTTAGATGATAGTTTGTCTAACATAAAAAAAAAAACGATAAACCCAAGAATGTCTTTATATTGTTATTTATACTTAGGGAAGCACCATTTTTTTATTTATTTAAATTGTTTGATTTAATTTGATCACAATGTACCTAAATGTAAGTATCTGTATCTATATTTCCCTCCCCAATAATATTTTACTAAGTCATACTAATAGAAATAGCGTTTTATTGTAATACATACATAATTATAAAATTCAGTATCAACTAATCAATAAAAATATGCAACAATAAAATTACATAGGTATTAAAAACTATCGAAATCTAAGTAACGAGAGCATGTTCGTCGTTCCACATCTAAATTATATAAAAATGCATTTTTCAATTTCACTAATCAACGTCGCCGCGAAAATTTCTTCTTCTTTGGGCACTTTAAAAATTAATTTACTTAGTAAATAATATTTACAGTTACCAATGTACAGATATTAACTAAATTAAGTATTTCTAGTCATAAAAATATTTATAATTGAGTATAAACTTTTAAAAAATTAATATATATTTGAATGAAGTCGCTCCAACATCGACGCGCAGTCCACCCTCGACGATGTCCGAAAACGGACCAAAGAGAATATAACCACTACGTTTAAAACGGACTGCGACAGGGCGACGGAGCATGCGCGCTCGCGTAAATATATTCAATTTCAGGGAAAAATGATATATTCTCTTATAAAACGGGGAATAAAAATAAAACTCTAATTTAAAGATATTGATATTTTTAAGACCTTTTTTTTAGTGTAAGAACTATTTAAAAAGCTTGTGCCATTTTGGAGAAATTTTGCAAAATATGACAAAGATAGTTAGTTTTTGGGGATTTTTTTTCTAATAAGGGGTTGACATAAATACAATTTTGTTGAATTTAAAACATTTTCCAAATCCTCTTCTGTTACGCTGTATTTTTTCTTTGTGGATTAAATGAACAGTTATTGAGATTTTTTTACTTAAATATGCAAGATTTATGCATTTCAACTACTGTTAAGGCCTTAACAACTACTGTTAAGGCCCTACCTGTTAATCGGCTTCTTATCGCATGGAATAAATATAAAGTTTGTGTGGCATTATTAGGGTCTGCGAAAGACCTGTATATGTATTGAGCTTTCTTAATAAATGAATTTAATTATCCAGGAAGGATTGTTACATTTATTTTCCTTCAAACTTAGGTATAAGACAAAGTAAATCCTTAGGTATTACACGTAATTGTTCAATTTTATTAAATATACATAACATAACATAACATAACAATTTATATAATTATTAATTTTATTTCTTAAATATATCCTTTTACTTGAAGCGTCAGTAGCCTAATGGCAGGACGCGGACCGCGAACTCGAAAGGTCGTGAGTTCGAATCCGCCATTCGACTACTATTGTGAACCACTTCTAACACAAGCATTTTAAGCTTACCAAAAGTGGTTAAAGGGAATATTAGTAATGTTTAATAACATTACTAGTATTTAAAAAAATCGTTTAATTATGTAATTTTTTTTATAACACAATTTTATTTTAAAATTGATTTTCCATATTTAATTATTAAACTTAATGATATAGAATAAATTGCCTATGCTTGTGCAATTTATTTTGTTCGATTTAGGAAAGATCAAATAACACTAAAATTCTAGCAAGCAAATATAGATGGGAACAGAGATGGACGTGAAAAGGTTTACTCACCGTACACTCGAATTCATCCTTCCACCTGGGCTAGGAAGTCTTCTTTCTTGATGTCCTGATTCGAATTCGACAAATTTATTTCGGTTCGTAGATTTCGCGCAAGTGCAAGACGGCACCTGCTTCACGACGACTGATTTGGGAGTCTTCTTATATGTACAAGCTTTACACGCGAAATCCTACCGGCTGCGCCAGTCAAGATTCAAAATTGACTCAGGACGTTTTTAAAAGACTTTATTTGAAACTTTTTACTAATAATGTACGATACATTACTTATATACTACTTAATTAATCCGCGATGAATTCTAACTTAAAGCTACATGTCCGATACATGTGAGAGCCTAACTATGACTATACTAATTCTTATTCTAGATCTTTAAGCTAAAGAGTAGTTATCAGTATTCACACGAAAGACCATCCGTCCTCCAGACACAATTCAGCAATCTACGCCCACGCTTACGCTTGAAATGTGATGGTCTCCGGTGCAGTTCCGGGAAAACCGACATGCATAACTACCTTTATATAAATCGAACGCCTGTGTTTAACAATAGTTTATTTTTGTGGCGTAGACAGAGAAATTTCTGACAGAGAAATTTTTCTGACTACGGTATGTGGATGTGGATACCATAGATAAATAAATATGTAGCAAGCTATATATATACATACAGGTATATACCAAGGGTAAATACCTATAGGTATATATACAGTAATCTATGATCTATGGTTTGTCGTTTAACAAAGAGTATAGCAAAACGGGAGTGTTTATTTTGTTGAACATAAATACATTAAATTTCCTGTACAATTATCTTCGTTTTTGGAGAATTGAGTGAAATTAATTCGAAAGGAGTGATATGCTTCCCGATATTTGCTTTGTCAATAAGCAATGTGATCATAATCATAAATATATTTTGTGAATGTGGTGTATTATGTTACGTGAGCCGCGCTGAACTAATTGTCAAGCATAATGCCAGTTCAGCAAATAAACGTAAAGAATTCATCTGATATCGAAAGTTGGGAATGGGGTGGTGGATGTGTAAGAGAGGCAGTTAGGGCTGAATCTGGAAGCAGCAGTACTTCGTGTAGTAACTCAAGCGGAGACATCTGTCGCATTTGCCATTGCGAAAGTGAACCTCATAATCCTTTGCTGGCACCGTGCTACTGTTCTGGTAACTTTTTAAAATGAATCATGTAAAATCTATATTGATAGTGCACTTATTGTTTATCATAATATTTGTAGATTGATTAAAGAGATATATTTTAAACATTAATAATTCTTGTACTTTAGGCTTTTATCTATTTCGCGCGAAAAGAAAATAATGACAAAACAAGACAAATATATAAAGGTATTACACATACTGGCTTGGCTGCTTTCCTGCCTAGGAGTCAAAAAGTGTTGAAGTATATATCCTTTTATCAGTTAGATTTGGTTAGGCTACTGGTGAGCCTAACCAAATCTAACTGAGATGTTTATGATATAGTGAGATATTTAATCTGTTTTAAATATTCTTTGTGTTCTGCCTAAATATTGATTGACAGAGTCTAAAAGAAACACAGTTATCAGGCAAAAGTTAAACTAACTGTAACCAAATATTAGGTTTTTCTGGTTTTGGCCGAAACTGAAATGAAAACCGGTTAGAGAGTATTCAAACATATGCATTTTTTACTTCTTTAGCCACAGTTGCTGAGACAGCTTGAATAATGCCCATAGAATCAGCTTGAAAGACCGAGTTTTGGGAACCAAGAAGTTCTCCAAGTAGGTCCCGGAGCCAGTACCTGATCTTGTCTTAGAACCATCGCTGATGATTATCAGTTCTTTTGAATTTTGACACTCCGTTTTCTATGGTTTGTATAATTGGATCTTGTACCCAATTGTAAAACACAAATTGTTTTGTGATCCTGTCTATCTTTGCTTGCAGAATGGGTAAATCTTCTTACAGTTTATCCAAATACCTAACATGAGATACCCTGTTGATTTTCCACAAGTTCAGATGTTTTAGTCTAATAGTTGACAGTGTTGCTACGTACTGGATGAAAATATGATGGTATATGGTATAATGGTGTCAGGTCAAACATGGCCTCTCTGGTAGATGTTGTTCTCATGGGCCCAGTGGCAGCCATGTATGCTAATCTCTGGCATCTTTGAAGTTTATTCTTAGTGGTGATTGGTGACTAGGTTGGTTTTATTCCACTAGACTGGTGAAGGTAAGATATCATAGGTCTGATCACTGTTCTGTACACCCATAGAACTATTTTCAATGACGGGCTCCAGTCTGACTATCATCCTCTTGCATTGTAATGAAGTTACACTTGCCTTGTTAATTTTATAATCTATGTTACTTGACCCATTTAGCTTACTGTGTTAAATAATAATAAAGGTATTTTCTCTCTGGTGACAGTCATAACTCTGTGCTGAACAGTTTAGGTAAAAAGTAGTTATCTTGCACATGTTTGTTGGTGAGTATGATCATTTCCATTTTGTCAGGATTTACCTTTAAGTCTTTCTACTATATGTAGTGCTGCCTGTGCAAGTTTGCAGACAATATGTGCCAATTTGTTTCTGGTGGCTATTATCAGGTTGTTTGCATACCCAACAGTAAAGAAGTGATTTAAATTCAGCTCTGTTGCATCTCTTATTTTATCGCATCTATTACAGGGAGTGCTCTGAGGAATTGTTTGGACTAATTCCAGCTGCTCAATTTCACCGTCGCACATTTTGTCAAAATTTGCGTTACCATCCATACCATCTGGATGATTGGCAGTCCACCACTGTGCGGTTTAGAAGAAATTTTCTTACTCACACAACTTCCTTGTGGAATCGATTACCACCAGCAATTTTTCTGGACTGATACGACTTGGGGACCTTTAAGAAAAAAGCCTACCCCTTCTTAAAAGGCCAGCAACGCATCTGCAATCCCCCTGGTGTTGTAGTTGTTCATGGGTGGCGGTAGTCACTTACCATCAGGTGAGCCGCATGCTCGTTTGCCCCCTCTCCTATATAAAAAAAAGCTCGATGATTAGGGCATTAATGACCAAATTCTGCCTTATGAGCACCCTTTCATTGAAAGGCCTGCTTGTTTGTATCACACCTGTAAATCTCACTATTATTTAGCTAAACATGTGAATCTATTTTGTAAAGATGGGTTCCACATCATATCTGACAAGGGCTGTACCTATGTTTGTTTTTCCAAAGACACCCTCAAGAAGGTATGAAGGTTGAAGTAGCCTATTTACGGCTCCGTGGCGTATTGGCTTAGCAATGAGTTCCAGTGCTTGGGGCTGCGGTTTTAAATCCCACATGGATCAAGTATTTGTATGGCCTACAAATAATTGTTCCGGGTCTAGATGTTTGTCCTTGTGCAATTTATGTTTGTAAACTGCCTCCACGATACAGGAAAAAATCCTAGTGTGGGGGTAACATTTTTTTTAAAGAAATAATAATAATATTGGAACAAAGAAACACAAAATCTTTCTTACAATAGCCTACTTCAATTTGGCTTACCACTGTATGTAGGACTGATTCTCCTAGGTTGAAAGCATGCTGATTATTATGGAGAGTATGTTTATTATATTCGAATGATCAATAAGTTATTGGAAATGTAATTAAACTCTAGGATAAGTCTCTAAATTGTAATCTAAATTGTATTTATTTTTCAATGTAATAGCATTTTAAGCTAATACACCTTGAATAGTTAATTCCCTTGGAAAAAAAGGCTTGATCCTTTGATTTGAAAAAGACCTCTACAGCACATCATCCTTTTTTGCCGCCAAATTTATACCAAGCAAGTGCCTAAAACAGTGAAAATCATTTGGAGATTGGTCCAGAAAATATGATTGTTGCTGCATCAAGTAAAACTCAGCAGTTTGCATTGCAGGGCCCACAATATCAGATCTATGGGCAGGTGCATTGTCATGATAAAAAAGCACTCCCGCTCGCAATTTACCTAAGCATTTTACTACAACTTTAGTTCTTCACATAGTTTTTTGAGTAATGATGCGATTACTGCGAAGGGTCATTCATGGGGCAATTTATACAATATAATGTTTACAGCAAAATCCCAGATAATATGCAGGACCTATCTATCAAAAAGTTTAAAATGTTTGTTAAGCAAAACTTGTTTAATATGGGTTATTATACAACATTTACAAATCACCTCATTTCCAGGAGTTATTAACATGATTGTTAATAACCCCTGGGAATGAGGTGATTGCTATTCTTATAATTTATATTAAATAAAAATGATTTTATTCTATTCTATTCATGTAATAGTGACAAGTAAGCAGTGTTCATAATAGAATGAGAAAAAAGCAGCATAATATGTAGTATAGACAGGTAGTTCTTCACGTGGTAGAGCCGTACTGCAGCTATATTAGTAGTATAGTTGTAACATGAATGGGTCGGCTCAACCGGGGAAGGACCACACTCTCACAGAATACCAGCGTAAAATAGCAGCTAAATGCTGCTGTGTTTCATATGGTGAGTGTAAAGAACCGGATACCCTTTTTACTGGAAATAAGGCATTCCATCTTAGTCCTCACAGGTGACAATGCATCTGCATTTTGAGGATAGATGTAGATGTCTATGGGCCACAGCAACCACGTACCATCAGGTGGATTGTGCGCTCGTTTGTCATCCTTATTCTATAAAAAAAAGTTATTTGATATTCCAGATAAACTATTCACTGTTATTTGTAGGTATATGAATTATACATTTTTAGAATGTTGTTTTGCTTTTGCTGTTTTTTAAATTGATATGAATGAATAAAAATATAAAAGAAATGTATAAAATTATTAATGATAAAGATATTTTGTAAATAATGAAAAGTTAAATTTTTCATTTCTAATGAATGATGAGATTAGGTTTTAGAATATTGTCTTATCTATAAATATTTTTAAATTGATATGCCTACTATTCCTTTATATATATATTATTGCTTAATATTTACAGGTAGCCTGAAATATGTTCATCAAAGTTGTCTGCAACAATGGCTGACAGCATCTGCAACTAAGTCATGTGAACTGTGTAAATTTAACTTTATTATGCATACAAAAATAAAACCATTCAATGAGGTGAGTTTTTGTAATTTATATCAATGTGTTAATTTATTATTTGTAGTTATAATTATTTCCGAATGAGTCAGCTGATTGTCCTTTGTTTATTGATTCTTGGGTGTAGTTTAATTGTACTTAATAATAATTCGTGCTGCATCCGTGAAACTAGCCTCAACTACCCAGGCCAAATAACTCAAAAATAGGTGTGGATTTAGTGCTTTTTGTGTGCTAATTAGTCGCTCTAATCAGGAATTTGTTGCAAATTCTAAGACCATTTTTAACAGTGGTAGAGCTAAGCGGTAGCTTTTGCTGTCGCACGGATGGGCCAGCTCGAACCGGGGTGGTACCACGACCTCACAGAATACCAGCGTGAAGTAGAGGTTTACCTCTGCGTTGCGCTTGGTGAGTGCAGGTGGCCGGAGGCCCAATTACCCCCCCCCCCCCATCAACATGGTAGTGGAATTAAATACAAGACTACCCCAGGAGGGTACCAGCACCCCTGGAGAATCCCTCGCTGAGCATCCACGACCAAACTACTTCACTCCTGAGCGTGGGTGCTCAGGCTGCCCCGCGTATTCTGGGGGGGGCAAAATTCCGCTCGTGACTAATGCTGCTCGGTGCAAGCGGAGCAATACAACCAAGGCGACCCCTGTCACGCTATCCGTGAATTTTTGCAACATCAGGGGACTTCATTCCAACCTTAACGCTGTCCATTACCATCTAGAGACGGCGAAGCCGGCCTTGCTCTTTTTAACCGAAACTCAGGTGTCCTCTCCGGCTGATACTTCATATCTCTCCTACCCGGGATACAAATTGGAACACTCCTTTGTGCCCCGGGCTGGAGTTTGTGTATACGTCAGAGAGGACATCTGTTTTCGACGCCTCGGCAGCCTTGAAGGTACGGACCTGTCCATCCTATGGCTGCGCGTAGACAGCGACGATCATCCCCGCGTCTACGGGTGCCTCTATAGGTCCCATAGCGGTAATGCCGACACAGACCGACTCATCGACCACGTCCAAATGGCTGCAGACTCCGTGCTACAACAGGTCCCATCCGCAGAGATCGTGATACTCGGTGATTTCAACGCCCACCACGCTGAATGGCTTGGTTCTCGTTTAACCGATCATGCGGGTAGATCTGTGTACGACTTTGCTTTGGCATATGGTCTAACACAACTGGTTACTTCGCCTACGCGGATCCCAGATGTGGAAGACCACTGCTGACCTCTCATCCGGACGGATATCAGGTCTTCGTCGATGCCCCTCTGGGCTCTTCGGACCATTGTCTGATCCGGAGCACGGTGCCACTCACGCTCCAATCGCAGTTGCGATCTGCAGCTTGCCGCCGTGTTTGGCACTATAGTACAGCTGATTGGGACGGGATGCGGTCTTTTTTTGCATCCTACCCTTGGGGGCGGGTTTGCTTCTCGCCGGAAGATCCCAGCGTTGTTGCCGATTCTGTTGCTGATGTGGTACTTCAGGGTATGGAACTTTTTATTCCATCCTCTGTGGTGCCCATCGGAGGCAGATCCCAGCCATAGTTTGGTCGCTCCTGTAAAATAGCATCACGCTATAAGCAGGAGTGCTACCGGGCCTGGGCTGATGCATCAACGTCTCGGGATTTAAACACCAGCGCACTTAAAAAGAAGTATAATTCCGCCTCCAGGTCCTTCAAAAGCGTCATTGCCAAGGCAAGGTCTGAGCACATCGGCAGAATTGGCGAGAAGCTAGTTCGCCTTCCTTCGGGAACCCGTGCATTCTGGTCTCTCGCCAAGGCTGTCCAAGGGAACTTCTGTCAGCCATCCCTTCCATCTCTGCACAGAAAGGACGACTCACTGGCCCATGCCGCAAAAGAGAAAGCCGATCTGTTGTGCTCTCTTTTTGCGTCTAACTCGACTCTAGATGACGGGGGGAACACACCGCCGACCATCCCGCGATGTGAGTGCTCCATGCCGGATGTGCGATTTACACAGCGCTCGGTTCGCAAAGCACTCTTCTCCCTGGACGTCAGCAAGTTGAGTGGGCCTGATGGAGTCCCGCCCATTGTGCTGAAGACGTGTGCTCCGGAGTTGGCACCGGTTTTAACGCGTCTTTTCCGGTACTCCTACTCCCAAGGCGTAGTCCCGAATTCATGGAAGACAGCTTTGGTCCACCCGATCCCTAAAAAAGGCGACCGCTCAGACCCGTCCAACTACAGGCCTATCGCTATCACCTCCTTGTTCTCCAAAATAATGGAATCCATTATAAACTGCCAGCTCATGAGGTACCTTGAGGATCACCAGCTGATCAGTGACCGTCAGTACGGTTTTCGTCGGGGTCGATCAGCGGGTGATCTTCTAGTTTACTTAACTCATAGATGGGCCGAGGCAGTAGAGTCCAAGGGGGAGGCATTGGCCGTTAGTTTGGACATAGCGAAGGCCTTCGATCGGGTCTGGCACAAGGCGCTTCTTTCGAAGCTTCCTTCCTATGGGCTTCCCGAGAAATTGTGCAAATGGATCACCAGTTTCCTTGCTGATCGGAGCATCAAGGTCGTAGTAGACGGTGCATGCTCTGATTACAAGCCTATCAACGCTGGTGTTCCACAAGGCTGCGTGCTATCACCAACGCTGTTTCTCCTGCATATCAATGATATGTTGCTAACTGGTAGCATTCATTGCTATGCGGACGACAGCACTAGGGATGCCTTATATACCGGCCGTGCCAATATTTCTCGGAAAACGTCGCCGAGTACCGGGACAAACTTGTGTCTGAAGTCGAGTCTTTGCTTAACAAAGTCTCGGATTGGGGCCGACTAAATCTAGTCCAGTTCAATCCCCAGAAGACACAAGTTTGCGCGTTTACCGCTAAAAAGAACCCCTTTGTCGTATCTCCTCAGTTTCAAGGCACTCCCCTTGCTGCCTCAGCCAGTATCGGAATCCTTGGCGTCGACATATCGAATAGCGTGCAGTTTCGTGGTCACTTGGAAGGGAAGGCCAAATTGGCCTCTAAAAAGCTTGGCGTGCTCAGCAGAGCGAGACAGTATTTCATGCCGGCACATCGCTAGCAACTTTACAAAGCGCAAGTTCGGCCCCACATGGAATACTGTTCTCATCTCTGGGCCGGGGCACCCCAGTGCCAGCTCCTTCCACTTGACCGCATCCAGCGCAGAGCGATTCGAATCGTCGACGACCGAGTTCTTTCCGATCAGCTCGATACACTGGCACTGCGTAGAGATGTTGCATCTCTTTGCGTATTTTATCGCATCTATCACGGGGAGTGCTCTGAGGAATTGTTCGGACTAATTCCAGCCGCTCAATTTCACCATCGCACGTCGCGACAAAACTCGCGTTACCATCCGTACCATCTGGATGATTGGCGGTCCACCACTGTGCGATTTAGAAGAAATTTTCTCCCTCGCACAACTTCTTTGTGGAATCAATTACCACCAGCGAATTTTCCGAACCGATACGACTTAGGAACCTTCAAGAAAAGAGCTTACACCTTTCTAAAAGGCCGGCAACGCATCTGCAATTCCCCTGGTGTTGCGGTTGTTCATGGGCGGCCGGTAGTCACTTACCATCAGGTGAGCCGCAAGCTCGTTTGCCCCCTATTCTATAAAAAAAAAGACCAAAATATTGCTGACAAGGCCAACTTTTTGGAAGTTGGCATTGTCATATGATATTTTGCCATAAAAGCGTCTAAAACAATCAAAAAAATTAGTTGCTAATTAGTTGTTCAACATATAGTGTCTAAGTATGAAATTTTTTATTTTATAAATCGAAAAGTGCATTTGAGAGGGAATGGTATACACTGAAATAGTCATTTGAATAAACGTATTAGTTAAGTAACTCTAGTAGTTGAAACGGTAAATAAAAAATAAGATTTTACTTATTCTCTGCAAAAATAAATTTAAAGTGTTATGTACGGCTAAACCAAAGTATCCAGTATGCAACGCAGTAGATTCTAAAATGAAAAAATAATGAATGAAAAAAAATTGTGTTCTGTATCATAACAGTCGTTACGAGATTATCTTGACTAAGTAAACATTTTGACTGCCTTTGCAAGCTCTGCTGGTCTTTTGGAGTAACTTCCTTCTCTCTCAATAGGGTACTTCACCCTCAAATTACGAGCCTGTCTTACGCCTCTCTGTAATCAGAAAGGCTTCGTACTTTGGTACAGTACTCGGATTGCTGTCGTAGCCCTTCTGTACAAACACTTCAGCACTTCGGTATGCCGACAGTTAATCTGGCACCGCTGAAGGGACTGAATATCGAACTATATAACTGAATCGAAGGCTTTCTTACAGTCCACATGAGCAAGACAAAGCGGTAGTTATGTTTTTTTGTCTTACGTACAATTTGCCGATGAAAGGAATGTAGACTTTGTGAAAATCGTGTTGTTCGGGAGAGTGGAAGTCATCAAATTTGCGTGCGAGACTATTTGACTGTCGATTAACGCTCAGAAGAGAAATCCATCAGTAGTTCTTCAGTAGGGCGTTGTCGCCTTTCTTAAAGAACAAAACCACCGCATTTCTCACGCCTCCAGAGTAACGCCACCATGAACCCACTTTCAGAAGTTCCGCTGTAATTTTATCTAAGACTAGCCGATACCCGCGATTTCATTCGCGTTGCTTGATATATTAACAAAGTTTTCGTATGTGCAAAGGAAAAATACATCAAAAAGATCGCAAGCAAAAATATGCTTACAAAATTTCTTTGTAAACAATGTTATTCGTTTGTACCTAAAATATATAAATTATCTGGGTTAGTAACCCGAGAGCAAGCGACCGTATGAAAAACGCCGTATAAAATTCGTTGTTTGTTAAAACTTTAAACTTTATATTAAATGAAGATATCGCAATATTTAAAAAAAATTCTATTTTCTAAGTTTTATTTCTTAGACCCTTGGGTCTAAGAAATAAAACTTAGAACACCTAATTCAAATCTATCCAGTAATTTTTCCGTGATGCACGCACAACTGCAAACCACTATCATTTTATTTATATAGATTATAATGGCTCTCCAGAGCTAATCTAATCTTGATCCACCGGAATATCACCGAAATAGTATCGGATGAGTCTCGGGTCGTTACTCACACTTGCGTGTGGCTCCATCAACGATGTGTACAGCTGTTCGTAGAACTTCGCAATATCTCTCAAAATGTCAGGTGTCCCGGAAACGACTCGGTCTCATTTGTTCTTAAACTTAGATAGTTGGCTCTTTCCGGCAGGCAGATCTCTAGCGATGACTTGGGTGATTCTTTTTTTATAACATAGGTTATTTTAAAAAAAATTACCCCTCAGGGTGGCAAAATTGTCACGGAAGTTTTTAATGGAACTATTTAGACGACATTGAAATTGGGATATTTCTTAGTTCACCTAAAAGGATAAAAAAAATAACTATAAATAAAAAGTAAAAGCTGACTTTAAACTTCTTAAAAAAAGAATATAACAATTTCACATTCTAAGGTTTTGGTTCTTCTATAGTTCTCATAGAGCAACAGGCCCCCGCACCGTCGCGGGGGACCGGAGCGGAGTAGCTATACGCAGCCCTTTGTCAAAGTATAAGTAATCTTATTTTCCGCTATAGGCCGCTTCCGGAAGAAGTTCATCATAAAGAGTATCTCCTTCTTCATGAAGTCAGTCAGTTGTTGGCCCTTGGGGTGTTGTTGCTCTATTCCAATTTTTTCTACCTGCAGCTCAGTCTTGTGCCTAGTTTCGCATTATAATATATCTTATAAACATCGTCAAAACAGTTTTGGAGCTTTACATGGCTAGAACTAAAGATAACCTCACAAATGGCCTTTACATTATCATTGAGGAGTTTCAAGGCTGGTGCGTAAACCTGTAAGTATGACTTTCAATTAATACCGTTTGATAATTCTAAGTATAAAATACGCAACTCCCGATTTTGACAACGATGTTAACGAAAGCTTTGCGGACGACACATCCGACCCTTCTCCGGAGATGCTAAGCAGACTGCCCGCCGTTTACATGACTGGCATCGGAGCTAAGAAGATGGCTCTCGGGAACTAGGGGACGTTTATTTTTTTGTCCCTAATATATCTTTATATACCATAATCCGTTTTGGTGCAGACAAAATGCCTAAATCAAAAGTACTCCGTAGTCAAACAAGAAAGTTGTCGTCCTAAAATCACGTGATGTTCGAGGCCTCGTAGCCTTAAAACTCACGACGTATCACCAAGGGGAAGAGAAGGGTATGATAAAAGCATTCTTAAAAATCTCACGTGTTTAAATGATGGTCCCAAATCAGATTAATAGTCTATAACTTTTTTGTTAATTATATTTACTTTTTGTTAATTATATTTACTTTAATTTCAAAACTAACTTACTTTTTCTCATGATGGTACCTGCCCAAGGTTACGTTGACGGTGCTCACTTCATTCGAGGCGCACTATTTGCGCGTACTAAAATAGTTACTTGCAAGCTTTTTCGACCAAAATGTAGAAGTCGACGATGAAGTCGCAGTGGAATAAAAATGTTTAAACATAATCATACTTTTGGTAAAGTCCAGCTCTTAGAGTAAAACACTTCCTATACTACTAGGTAGTAGGAATCCTTTTAAGTACCATCCTCTTACCTATTTATGCTGCTGTGTTCTGGTATGAAGGATATAGAGAGCCAGCATAAATACAGGCTGTGAGGCATTGTGTTTTAGTCCTCAGGGGTGACAACACTTAAGTAGCATCATTTGTATAAAGAACAATGGCAGAATTTCATACATAATATTAGTTGAGAAGGAATGATAGCGTCTATATATCAAAAATATCTTAAAATGTTAAGCGTCAGTCCCTTAATAACTCTGTAGAAGAATTTTGTCCTGAGAAGGTATCTAAAAAATTATATTTAGATTTTAACCTTTTTAGGTTATGCCTTATGTCACTTGGAAAAAGTCATGCGTCCTGTGGTTGTTTGATGTTAGTTTAATACATTCTCAACATAATGTTGCTACCTACATAATTGAGAGTTTTTGGATTATTGTATCTCTATTATATATTTGTATACTATAAATTTATATTTCTGGCATGGCTCCAGGGCCTTCGTATCATACAGTGATATTTTCAGAAGGACTAGAACCGAGAGCCGTAAAGCCAGTAAAAAAAACCACTGACATTTTGTAGTAGTTAACATTAAATGGAATTGTTACATTGAACTATGATTGAGATAATGTATTATTGTAGGAAGTTCTTTGTAAGAGACTTATTTTCAACCATATCACTTTTATTTTTATTATTGCTGATAGTATAGTTATTACTGATAATAACTTAATATAAAAATATTTTGTGGTTGTGTGTTGTGTTGGTAGTCTTACAAAGTGTATACGAAAATAGTATGAATATAGTAAATGGCAACACTTGAATAGAGTAAAATGATTTAAGTCATTTGATATTCCCAAAAATGTTTTGTTTTTTTCTTTGGCTATAATTAAAATACATTTTTATTTGAAAAATCATAGAAAAATAATAAAACTCATTTTATATATAACTTATTTCTAGACGCAAAAAATTTTGTCAACTATTTTTCTGCCATTGTTCTTTGGCTGCAAGTGTACATGGGCTGCAGTGGCCACTTACGATCAGGTGTTCGTGTGTGTGTTTTGCAAATTATGTACAGTGGAATATCGATAACTCGAACCTCGTTATGTCGTAATCCTCAATAAGACGAAAAAAACAGCCATTCTCGCTGACTGAACCCCTAAATACACAGTATCTCGAATTATTTAAATTTTGTAACCAAAACAAAACGTTTATTTTCTGCGAGGTATTGATAGTACATATTTATACTCTATAACTTGAATTTCAAAAAGCAGACTCCGTAAATCGAAGTTAGTAAAACCACAGAATAAATAATATAAGGGATTGAAGTAGACTGTATGAATTTACTATTGCAAGGGGACTGTATGACTGACTAATTACTACGCTAGGGGACTGCTCAAAGAAAAGATGGTACTGTAGAACTATACTGTATTAAACTATTTACAAATGCGGCTTTCACTAATTAACTGTATACACAGAGGGGGGTCTTCAATCGAGTATAAATTCTTCTCTCTTGATGGTTTCTCTTGATGATTTCTCTTGAAGTTTCTTCTCTTGTTGTCTTCGAGTGCCGCTTCCGAAATAAACACCTCATAGACCAAAACGCCCTTCTTATATCCCGCAAGAGAGCGTCTCAGTATGTGAGTAGCGTCGTAAGGCGTATGTGAGTAGCGTCGTAAGGCGTATGTGAGTAGCGTCGGGTATGAAGGGGCGGCGGCCTCCTTCGCCGTCCGTAACAAATAATAATGCAAGAACAGAAGAATCACTGTGTGATAGAAAACTTGCGAGTTTAAACCTAGTTACAACATAGCTAATGTTCATAATACTTTACACGCCTCGTATGTGACCTTCGTTAAAATAGCCTAACGATTCTTGTGGCGCACGTATTAAATCAAAATGCACCATACGTCCGCGTGCGAGAGTCTGTATCACTTAGGCCGTTACGCGCCTTTGTTAAGGCCGCTCCTACTGTAGGGTAAGGTGTTGTGAGAAATCGAATTGTATCCTTTGATATTAGTTGGTAGTAGAATACACCGATATGTTATTCAATGTATAAGTAATTTGCTGATAATAAGGACATTATTGTTCAATGTGAGGAAGGTTAATATGCAACATCGAGAAAAATTAAGATTATAGCAGCGTGAACGTCTTTGAATCTCAGATAATTTACCTACTTACCATTTTAACTGACTTCAAAAAAAGAACGAAGTACTCGATTTAACTGTATTTTTTATGTGTAGAACTTTCTTCTAGGTGAACCGATTTTGATGATTTTTTTTTATTTGAATGCTGGTGCTTTCAAATAAAAATGTCCCATATAAATTTGATTAAGATCTGACCAGTAGTTTTTGGGTTATCCTTAATAATGCGTATTTAATTTTTCGACTTCGACTACATTGATGATATTCTC